TATGACTGCTGTTGCTGCTGCTCTTGCCGCTCACAGAGAATAAGTTGGTTTAATGATTTTATCTTCGTGCTTTTCAAAAGACCGTCCGCCGAAAACCAGTCCACCGCCTAATAGTTGTATTGAGATGACTTTTCAACCAAATATAATTTTTCAAGTCAAGGAGCCGCCGCACTAAGCTTACTTATTTGTTGCGGCTTTTAAAAATGGCACTGTTTTCTCAATCAAAGCCATCTAATTTAGTTGATTTATATATTTTTATAGATAGTTACAGATATTATCAAATAATCATCTAACTCGGATGTTTCTTTTAAGATGAACAATTATATGATTAAATGTTTTCATTATTAATTTGATCTGAATGAAAAATAAACTTAAAAAGAAAAATAAGCTTAAAAAATGTTTTGAATCAAATTTCATTTGATTGAACAAATGATTGACTACAACATTTGACAAATCCAAATATAAGAATGAACGAAATGTTATTTATCAGTAAAAAAAAATATGTGTTTTCTGGACTTCTGTAATATATGCATGATACTTTACTCGGTGTAATATTTTCCCTTAAAAATTAGAATATTTATAAAGTTCTGCTTCTACAAAAGTATCACTCAATTTGAAGTTCTATTTAATTTTTTTCTTAAAGCGTACATTCCAAGTGGGGATAAAAGCTGGGTTTACTCGAACAGTGATTCAATTCAGTTTCGCGTAAAAAAAGCTTTTAGTTTGCAGTCTGAATTGATATAATAAGAAGTAATTCCAAATTGTACGAAGAGTGACACGGGTCGCTTCAAAATTCATTCATATGAGGTTGATTTTTTCATGCAAATGAAAACCATCACCCCTTAAAGATTAAATTTAAAAAATAAAGTAAAGCAAGCCAGCTAAGATCTAGTATTAAATATTTAAAAAGAAAACTAAAAAATTGAACTCTATCTTGCGAATAGCATGAGATATAACTTTCATAAAATAAGTAAATATTACTCTTTTTTCTTTACTTATACCAGAAATTTAAAAATGGTAGATATATTATTAAATCATCATGTAATAGCATAAAGGTGCGCTTGTTTTCAATTAACAAAAAAAAAGTATTCTAAAAGCTACAAAATAATCATCGATCTGGTTAATGATAAATTTAATTCGATGAAATATTGATGCTTTTTTAATTTATTTGGTATTTGATTATTTTAGATGTCACTAGGCTAATTATTTGAGGTTTAAATTGTACATTTCCTCTGGGTAACTTACCATCGAGTATAATAGATTAATGTAATCCCGAACATAACTGCGTATTATACGATAATGCCCGAATCATATTTCTACACAATGTACAATATAATATCATCAAAATCATTTGGGTCATTTATGAAATGTAATAATTTATAATTGCTAATTATTCTTACTTGTTTATATTATACTAGCTTAATGCTAAAAATAAGCTAAAAATAAGTTAAAAGTAAGCTTTTTCCCGTACGCATAACATCGCATAGATGATATTATATTGCTTTGGAAAAAAGAAATTCAAACTAGGACATTGCGAAAAGGAGAAGCTTGTGGTGTTCAAGTTGAGGGAAGCGTTGACTCGTGCTCAGAAAATACGTCAAAATATAATACAAGAACAGTTATAAACGTAGTTGCGATACACATCTTTCTCACAAGTAGTGCGATTGCGATCAAAATCGTTGAATAATTAAGAGGAGTCATATATCAATTCACTCCTCTTGGTAATTTTTTCGATATAAACTACAGTTTAATGTCAATCTACATTTTCAACATAAAATTGACATCTTTGAGCCCTAAAAAATGTGACAAGAGTTGCAGAACGGGACTTTGCATCTGAAAATAGCTCAATTTTGCTATTTTAGCCTTTCGGCACTATGTGCAAGGCTCAGATCAGAGTTATTTAGGTGGCCATGCCTGATAGGAATCAAAATCTTCAGTAAAGTATCCTCTATGGGCTGAGTTCTGAACCTCACAAGGCTAAAATAGCAAAAATAAGCTATTTTAAGATGCAAAGGACTGTTCCGAAACTTTTTTCACATTTTTTAAGGCTAAAAGATGTCAATTTTATGTTGAAAATGTAGATTGACATTAAACTATGGTTTATATAAAAAAAATGACAAAGAGGAGTGAATTGGTGTATGACTCCTCTTAAATTCATCTGTTTATGCTGACAAAAACTTTTTGCCGAATTTATAATTATACTGTTGACAAGCTGAGATTTGAAAAGAACTAAAATTTTCACTCGCAGCCGATTATTCTTTGGGTATTTCTCTAGTCGTGGATTTTCAAAGAAACATTAGAAAAGCAGAACGATATGCAAATTCCATTTTAAGAAGCAGCTAAAGACTAGCGCAAACTGCGCAACTGGCTGTTTTTGTAGAAATTGTTTGTTTTTCCGCAAGAGCAGATTGTCGAGTTAAAAGCTCGCGCGTAATAAATCGTAGTTTTATCTCCTTGTGAGTTGGCGTCGTGGTAAAGCATCGAGTGGGACGAGTCGCGCACACTACAGATTCGCCATCAAGACTGCTGACGGCGATGCTCGAATAATAATGCTCACCTGTGCTAGAGCTGCCAACGCCAGAGAAGTATGCTGCGCCACGACTGCATCTTGAAAAAGGGGGGGTGATTGACTCACAAATATCTTAGACAAGTGATCAATAAAGTCCATCATCAAGATGATTACAAGATCTAGCAAGTATATTCTTCACGGCGAGTTGAGAGTCAAGATGCTCATTGCCGATGTGGTCGTACGTTCAAAGATTAGCAAGGCTAGCATCTCTTTCGGGCTCACTCTCGTGGTTTATTCGAAATCTATTCTCGATTGTCAATTTGACGATTTTTACAGGCCCCAATTCTTCCAGGATTCTCCAGGCTTACTTGAAGATGAATTAGCATTTTGAATGAAATATTTATTGATCCCGAGTGATTTATTTATAGAATAAACATTAAATACGTAGACGGAAAAAATGCACACTGATGCCACATAAGCTCAAGGATTTATAAATTTGTTAAAAAAATATAATTTTTCATTAATCATGAGCAATAATCGTATAATACACGGTGCAAACGTTTTAACGAAAACCAAATATGAGTTTGGGCCGACAGGAAAGAAGTGGCCAATTACAGAGTGCGAGAAAGGGAATAACGAGAGCGACGAGAGCACTTATACATTCGCAGTTAATTTTCTCTTTTCAGGCGTCGCTGAAAATGTATATGGATGTGTGTGTGTGTGTGTGTGTGTTGCGCGGAGGTCGCGCGGCCATGGAACGCGACAGGGCCGATGCGCCGTTATCAGCCGCAACGGCCCTAGCAATTAAATCCCCGCGCGTCGAGCGCGTGCATTAATTCCTGCCTCTGCGCAATTGAATTTATAATAATGTACCGCGTCGAATGCATTGCAGATTAGAACTTATGAACTGTCCTCTTCCTTTTGCATTTGCCGCTCTGCGTACGTGGTGGTACGGGTTTCATGCAGCCAACCTGCAGCTGCGCGCTTACCTATCGAATAGATTATGTATTTTACTACGTCCACGCGCGCGCGTCTGTATAAGCACATTAGTGCACGTGTGTTTGCCTCGCTTTACTTTTATACATATTTGGCCCGGCGCATTTTGGTTGCATCAACAACAATGGCCCTACGTGCTCCGAGAAAGACACGCGCGTGTGCCTGAATTTGTAGCATCCTATTGAAATCCAATGATTCGAATTCACTCTACGTACTCGACGCGCCGCGTTAAATTTATACTTCAAAATGAATCTAGCCCAGGCTAGCCCGCGGTGATTAGGCAATTTGCATTACTGGCCATATTCGCGCGATGATCGCAAAGCAGAGCCCAAGTCGTTCCATAGCCGTCGTACAGCGCGTGCATCACTTTGTACGCCAATATCGTACTTTACGCGCCACTCGGATTACTGATTTCAACTGCGACTCGATAAAATATCAATTCGTCCGAGTTCCAGGATTCGCTTTATAAGCTTGCGGCCCTTTAACTCGAGTCTGTCGCGATCGCGTTACCGAGCTAATGAGCAACTTCTCTTGTTGCGGTGGAAGCTTAGCTTGGTTGTCGAGCTGATACTTGCCTGCTTCGACACTCATCTTGAAGAATAATTCGAGACGACGTCCTTGGAGTGAAAAATCATCCCCGCTAGATGGTTTTAAGATGCAGGCCCCGTCGAACCCATAATCGAGTACGGCAAAATGTCTTTGCTGACGTCACTTAGTGTCCATATTAAGATGCTAGCTCTTGCATTAATTTCATTCATTTACACGAGCCAGTCTATCATCGTTAGGAAAACAAGAAAATTATCACAGTGAAACTGATACCCGGCCAATGTAAACTTTATGGTCGCACCGGGTAATACGAGACTGCAGATGTGTTCAATTTCAATTTAACTTCTGCATTACCATTTTTCCATTTTATAAACAAATTTAATCAAACATATGAAACGTTTTAAATGCAAATATATGCATAATACGACTTTTAATGCAACATTTTATTCAGATACTTGGTTAAGTGCGTCAAAGCCTGATGGACATCGACCCGAGATAAAGCTTATTTTAATAAATTTATGTAATTGCTCACTGAGCTAAAAAATCATTATTAATTAATACGATGAACGTAAAAGTTTTAATTGGGAATTTTCTATTCAAAAATCGATCGATTTCAACCTCTTTCACGAAAGATTACAGTTTACTTAATATTCAAAAAAACTAGCCATCTGCCAGAACTAGCCATTGATAATTTACGATTAAACTTGAATGATTGGAAAATCTCTATTTACTTTCGGACATCGAATCAACTTTAAAGTGTTTAGAGTGATGATTCTGTAAAGAAAATAATTCTAGGAAGGTACTATAATTGCGTAGATAATAAAATGTTCAAATGATCCAGGATATTGGTTTCATTAATTTTGCTAAAACAGTTAAAAATAAATATCTCTTTATTTGTATACGATACATTTATACGTACTCAATGCATTACAGTCTTATCACAATTTTTCGTCACTTATTTACAATGCTCTCCTCTCGGGAACCAATTATTCTTTAAAAACAAACACGTTTGTCACCATGACAAGTGTAAACACTGATTTAAAAATGGCAATGTACATCATATTGAGATTGTGATAACGTCACTTTGAATTAATTAATCCAATCAACTTGATGAAAATGGAAGTCAGATCGTTGAATACATTCAAACTTGTATGAAATTAAAAAAAAAACAACGCAGAAATTTCCAAACCCAAATATCCATCTGAAATAGTACATTAAAAGTCAATCATTCCATGTAAAAAGAAAATCAGTGTGTGTGTATAAATTCAACGATATCGGAAAAATTTTGGTTAGCCATTATGATATGCCAATTTTCATCCTTACCTATATCGAAAAAAGCAAATATTGTTGGATTATTATAATCATCGTTTAATCGTACCCTTGGAAGAGTTCAGGTCCAACCGAAGGTGGCGGAGAAACGAACATTTGGAACGTACAGAGACAACGATGTCGAGAATGAATCCCATATTCTGTTCAAGTCGACATCGTTATACTCTACATGCTTTGCCCTTTTTAATCGTGATGCATAGTCCACCTCGTCGGCAACGTATTCTCCGTGATTTTTCTTCTTTGTATTAGCAAATGCTTTGATGAAAATAAACAACGACCAGCGACAGACAGCTCATGAGCAGCGTGCAAATGCGCACTCGGTTTTCTGCAAAAACAATTCATTTTTTAATTTATTCCACTTAACTGCCAGGGCATATATTTGGGTTTCGAGTGGAAAAATCATATCGTAAAATTTGTGAATATGCAAAAAGGGCTTTACAAATCATTGAAAAAGATTAACCCGATGAAAGCCACAGGCATCTGCGCCACGCAGCCTCGACCTTTAAAAAATGCAAATACTCGGTAGCCGCGCGCGTCGGAACAAAGAAATGAAATGAAGCTGCAAAAAAGAGGCTACATAATACATACTTTTGATGGAATTAATCTCAAGGTTCGCGAGCGGAAAAAATTGCTTATGGCCCGTACGAATGATTTCCCAAGGTGAAAATTTTTTTGCCGCTTTCGGTGCTTCATTCGGGGTAAAAAATCTTACCATTGTTGTGCATGTGGCTCTGAGCTCGTGTCTCGCGACTCTCCATCGGTTGCTTGAGTATGCCGTGATCACCGACGACTCGATGCTCTTTGCTGCGCCTGTATACCGATGATATGGTCGCTAGACACTTGAGCTTCATGTCCCCGTGACGGAAGTGATTAGACCATGCTTGAAATTCCAGGATTAGAACGACTGTTTCCAAGCCGCGTTTGTCTACATCAACTATGTACGGGCCTTTTAGGTACTGCATGTCCACCTGCCGAGCATAAAGTTTCACGACAAAATAATTTTAACTGAAATTCAAATTTTGCCTTCACTGCATGATAAATTGTTGCGAATGAAAATAATTTTCATAATTAATAATTTATTATTAAAAACAGTGGGATGTAATATTTCTTAAAATATTTCTTTTATCATGATAATGAAATATTATTGAGCGTTTTTTGCACCGATTTCAATGAGTTTACTGCACAACCGAAAAAATATACAGCTGGAATTAGCTTGAAGCAGCATTTTGCAAGAGAGAAACTTTGATAAAGGCTTTAAACTACTCAAACACTATAGTTTCGAGAGTGAAATTCACAATTTATTAGATTTCGCTGACTTTCGACTCTAGTATAGAATTTGGCACCTTTTTTCATAAACTAACGATAAAGTTGGGCGCATCAAATTTTTTCATAAGCACAGCTGAAAAATTACTATAAAAAATAGCATTGCTCAGGCAATATTTTTCGTTACCCTACTGCTAATGATAATGCTTTAATAAATAGTGTGTTTGCACACAAAATATAGTTATAATTTTAATGATTTTAGGATTAGTAGAGTGAGACGTCTCTATATATCCTTATGATATATCGATGCATCAGTAAGGAAAAACTGCGGCTGCCGTTAGTGAAAAAAAAACTAAGCTAAGGTAAATTAAACGCCAAAACTAAATTGCCCTTGTCGTAAAAAACTCAACGCTAACGGTTTTAATCTGCGTGAAAAAGGAAAATAGAACAAGAGGAAGAGAGCAGTAAGAGACACATCGCCAGGCATTGCGGAATACAGACATAAATTCACGATACTTAGAGTCCATGAAGACATTAATTTGCCTGGGTGTACGCAACAGTAAACGAAAAAGGAAGGAGAAAAAAAGAAAAATAAAGACGGAACGCAGCAACGCTGCATTTATACGCGCATGTTCTTTTCTTTTGCCGCAAATAAGAAAAAATAAAATAGAAGAAGAAATAACAACAAAACATTGCACAGATCCCTGATGTTTATACCACGGTGGCACGGTGGTATTATGCTGTATAGCATTTAAAAATGTTAGTTTTTCACTCTTGCGCATTCGTCCAATAAGACGTTAAAAGAGAGGCGAAAAAAAACAGCAGAGACTCGAGGGGGTCTTGTGTGCATAAAATGCTACGCGGTTACGACGAAGGAGAGGAAAAGCGAGAGAGTGAGAGCTTTTAGCAAAGAAGCTTAAAGTATTGCGAAAGAAGTTTCGAAAAATTCATCCTTGGTACTGAGAGAGAGAGAGTGTGTGTAGCCAACTTGGTGTTAATTAAATAAAGTCGAAATTTTTTATGTACGATATGGCACGAGAGAGGTGGAATAATTTTATTTCAAAATTTTTCTCGTTCGTATATTCAAGCTCGAGCTAGCAAATTATGGAAAATAAGTTACAAATTGTATGTATTTTTCAAGCAGAGTAGATTATACCTACTTATGGCTATTGTATATATGTATAACGCGTACGGAGGTATATAATAGCCGGGCTTTATATACCCCAGCGCTTGCCGTTCGAAACGTGTTGTGTGTAGTACGTATACAGCTTAAATATTCCCAGTTTTGAAGTTTGATGGCAGCTATTTTGCATGCATATAATCGCGCAGGGCAAATCGATTATTTTAATGAAGTGCTTCCAGAATCAGTCACTGCTATTATATTCGATATCGATAATAATAGGCCAGCGTACGCAACGTAAAAATTTTTATAGCTTATTCAAATTTAATTGGGATATTTTTCCTCTCGGCGTGCGTTCGATCATATTTTTACTTTTTTTTTTTTTATTTTAAACAACTTTTTTTTTATTTTCAAGCGAGATGAAATATTAGCAGCAGCCATGAGAGAGGTAAAAAAAGGAAATAACGCTTAGCATGAAAAATGTGCGCACACAGGAAAAGCTCATTTGAGAGGGGAAAGAGAGAGAGAGAGAGAGAGAGACAGGAGAGGAGAGAGACCGCAGGAGTAAAAATCTTGGGGTGGATCCAGATAAATTAATGACTCACCGGCTCTTCGTTGACGTACCACATCAGCAGAGCAGCCGGTTTTGACGGGGCGGACGTGCAGTTAATGTTGACGATGTCCCCTGCTTGATATTTAGACTTGGCTCCCGTGATTGTTGGTCCATGCTCCGAGAGTACTGAAATTTGCAGACGTTATCGACTAAACATCTGATTATAGTGTTCAAATCTTGACGATTGAAATATTATCAATCATAAACAATTTTTTATCTTTGCAAGTAATTTTTAAAGCTCAAACAATTTGGTTATAATCCTGCTAATATATATCGTATGATTCAACGAGCACAACTTTTGCGAGTAATTTTTACTGTGGTTTTTATTATATTATGCTTGAAATGCGATTAAAGGGCAACATGTTTTAATATATAATAATCTCATCATGTTGATTCTAGAGTTTATTTTAGTTTAATAACTTTTTGGACCGTTATCCGATGCATTTTTACAGCTGCCCTTTTTCCAAAAAGGCGCTCGAAAGCTTTTTTTATAATCCTTGGAAATGGAAGAAATATATGGTTGGAACATTTTCTCTTGAGTGACCCTATTTTTCACGGTAAAAAAATAAGCTATTGTTAATCATAAGACTTTTATCGATAAAATACTTGAAAAAAACTGACACGTGCTCCTACTAAGGAAAGAAAATACTAAACGGAGCGGAATAATACAAAATAACGTCAAGGCAGCGCACAAGGATCAAAGGCATCGTCGGGTGTTTAGACAGCAATAAAAAAATATTTATCCGATGAGCTGGGAGGGCGTCTAGCGGAAAACATAATAAGCGCGCGTATTGTTCCTTCGCTTCGTCAATTTCCATTGCGTGTACTTGAAAATAAATCCAGCAGCTTTTTTAGTCCCTTCTATATGCAGCTAATGCAGTTACAAAGGAAACAGCTAGTTGTGCAAAGACACCGATGGAAATGTACGTGTATGAAATGTGTTTCGTTGCAGTGTCTAAGCAGAGGAAAAAAAATCCATGAAAACAGACGTAGCCGCAAGCTGTTGCGACGTGGCTTCTATACGGTACAGCGCTGGAAAAGATAACTTATAATGCGCGCGAGAAGAGCCTGCCTCTTGGCTTACACGTGCTGCTGCATATTGTACATCGACCGAAATGAAAATCTATATACGAGCTCGAGTATTCTCGGCCGCGCGAGTCGCGATGGAAGACACTCATCGAGTTGTCCAATTGGCATAAGCCTCGTTGTCGGCTGATAAATCATAGTAAAAAATATGTACTCGTAGAGGAAAAAGAGAAACTGGTTATGATTCTGCTGGCAAGTTCATTTAGTACTTACCAACTACCGTCATGTCCGCGTGATCGGAGACCGTATGGAAAGCCGGAGCTTCGGCCGATACCTCGCATCTGTAGCGACCCGTGCTGTCGTCGTTCACTCGGTGCAACACTACGATTTTCTCCGTCGAACTGCGCCTCTGTACAGGTCGAAATCACCATTAGATTTACATGTAGTAATTTAACGCTTCGTTTGCCTCTCATTATTTCGCAGACGCGGCAACGAAACGAAGAACGAGAGAGATATGCTCCGCATGTACATGGCCTGTTATAGAGGATCGTTTCGATGAGTGCGAGCGCAGTGTAAACACGCGCGAAGGAGCAAAGAGAAAAGAGGAAGAGAAGGAGAGAAAAAAAATTGTTAATGAGAGAACTCGGCTGGCATACATAGTACTTATAAAAAGGATTAATGCGCGTAAGAACCTCCAAAACGAGTCATTCTATATCCTTTTCACGTTTACGTAAGACTAGCCCCGCGCGCCAACTTCGTGGGACCAAATTTACGGTCAAATCACGTTTTCCAGTCGACGCTTTCCAGCTCTCTTATCTACCCTCTTTCATTAGTCCTGTTTTTTCTTTCGTGCATTATCTTCTTTAGCTACTATTTGTTTTTTATTATCATCGTTTTACGTTTTTTAATAGTTTTTTTTCCCCATAAATTTCATGAATTCGACATCGATATACATTATCAAGAGCGAAACAAATGCATCTTTCGAAAATAATTACGATAAACTTGAAAAATGAGAAAAGGATGCACGGGCTACAAGCAAAATGAACCTCAAATGAACGACTGCTAACTCTTTTTTAATAATTTCTCAACGGCTTAAAATGCTACGTAATGGAAATTTAAATGCTATCCTCGCGAAATGATGAATGCGGTGAAAAAAGCGATTAAATTTATTACAGTCAAGTTTCTAATATTACATCTATATCGCAGTCGAGGCTTCAGTTTCGCTTTTAATAAAGCGAATACCACTCGCGCCCACGACTAAAGAGGTCAGAAGGAGGAAAAAAGATGTTAATAAAATTCAAGTAGTAGCTGCTAAGTTAGTACGAAAATTACATAAACATAGACAACGCGACGTTGGCATTAGGCCTTTGTAGGTAGGGTAGTTACTGGTATTCAGTAAATAAGTACAGCGAGTTGAATTGCAATCCGGTGGTTGCAAGTTTCGCTGTGTGTATACTCGGTGTCAAAAGAGCTTGACAAGATGAAGAAAATTGAGAGACGGTGGAGGATGGTAGAAGGTGGCAAGGCTTTTGAGTCGGAGGACGGAAATGAGACTGAGGACGAAGATGTGCTCCGCGCGCATCACAGTACTCTGGCTCGTAATATACGTGTGCGAGCACGTATGAACGTTGCAAAATAAATCAACAAGAGAGACGACTCGTGCACGTGGCTGGAGCGAAATTCCGTAAATTCGCTATCAAAGTCGAGACGTTTAAATATATCGTGTGTTTAGGCGTTGGATCGGTTCACGTTCGAGCAGACGAAACGCGCACCAAGTCCCTCGCAAGTGGAACAGTAAAAAGTAGACTAGGAATAATAGGTATAAAAGAGCCTACGTACATCGACAGCGACACCGTCGAGCGGAAAGATGTGAACTCTCGGCTCCTCCGAGGGCACGTAACGGTAAAACTCGTGGCCGTCCTTGTACCATTTGACGGAGTAGAGGCTCTCGCGGTCCAGACTAAAGTCGCACTCCATGCGTACGGTCTGATTGAGCACGACGTGCTGCGGAATACGAAGGGCTGTCATACGAAGCGCTTCGCTACCTGCAATTATATAGTTGGAGCATTGTGCGTCGTTGGCGTGGATCGAGCGAGACAATTACGCCGAGACGCGCCGAGGCCTCGGATTTCCTTTCTACGCGCCACACCGACATTTCAATTTCGCGTCTTTGTTATTTCTTTCCTCGACGATTTCCGACGTTCGTTTTTTCTTCCTTCGTATAATGCGGGAGAGTGGAGCAGAAGCGCCGTCGACATAAGTAAATCATTTACACCGATGGTTTACTTCGGAGTCTCGATAATCACTGATTAAGCGTTCGAAAAATAATTTATCCCGACAATCATCGTCGATAATATTAATTGCCGATGATGAAATTCCAAATTTTACTCGTTGTACACCACGGGCCGCGAATGTTTCAAATGAAGGCTTTTGACAAAAGCCGGGGAAATTTCGTTACGATGAGAGCATGATAAATGAAAAGATGGCATGTTTGATAAGGCAACCGACCGATGAACGAAAATGTCACACACGACGATCGTGACCCGATACATCCGACGCTCGTGTCGTACATAGAATTGCATTCGTTCTCTTACATATAAAATTACAAAAGGAACATTTCGATAAAACTCTCATATTTATCTACCTTTCACAGGTTTATTATTCACGTCGAGTTTTAAATGTAACGAGATTCGATCCGGTCTAATGCGTCATGGCCCACTCTCCCAGACGAGTAAGAAAAAACAATCGGAAAGGCGAAAAGTCGGTTGGCTTTGGCATTTAAAACAATCGCGCACGTAGCGCAGGTACACGATCGCGAGGTCGTTCTGGCAAATACGTACTAGCCAAGGTAAGAGCGAGCAGCAGCAGTAGCATCGAAGCAGGCCGTTGAATCGGCACCAAGAGCCTAGCTCGAGCAATCGCGACTCTCATCTTGTAAATGATCATGTCGTGAAGGAAGCTGCGGTACAGGTAGGCCCTTATTATTATAAGCGCTGCTCGTGTAGCAGCATCGAATCAGCCAAGGGCCATCGGTATCACATCAGTAGCCGCTGCCACGGCGAGCACAGGATTTCGGCGAAGAAACTGAATCACACAGAACGAGCGAAATATCACGTCATCGCCAAGAGCGAGCAAAACTGCCGGTTGTTCACCAAATCGCGCACTGCACTTATATTCTATACACTATATAGACACTGCTACTCGGCACAGTAGGCCACTCGTGCGGCAGCGAGTGATGCGAGTCGGCGTACTGGTCAGACTCGCTCGCTCGCGATCTCCGCCGCGTTTGGCCTATATATATATAGTATAAGCCGTGGATCGGAGGCACGCGAGAGAGAGACTGCTGCAAACCGTAGGTGGAGACCGCCGGCGGGTGACTGCGGCAGGAGAAAATATCCCCAGCCTCACCGAGTCAGCCGCGAGCGCAGAAAGAAGCAGCAGCAGCAACCTGTACCTCCCCTCCTGGCTATACGATGGCCTGGCTGCGCGTGCAGCTAGCGCAGCCACCCCCGCATGGCCAAACTACTACCCCCCTCTGAAAATCCCAATAATGCGCACGCGAGTGAGAGCGAGAGAGAGAGAGAGAAAGGCTCGCTCGCGCGCAGCTATTTCATGCATCCAGCCCTCCCACTGCGTGCAAAGTACGCGGCTCGAGTCTGCGCGCCTCGGCTCTTATCGCCCTGTATAGCCTATATACGTAGCAGCAGCAGCACCTGCACACATTTGTGTGTGCGCGTAGCTGCGCAACTTGGAATACTTTCGATTCGTCCCTTTTGCACGTAGCTCGACTCCTCTCGTTCAGCTCGTCCGCGGCTAAACGCTGTACACGGTCCGACGAGGTGTTGCTTGCTTTATACGCGCGACTGATTGACGATTGATTGCCGCTACTGCTTCTGACTCGCTGACTCGAGAGCAGCTCCGGGCCCCGAGGCCACGATTCCTGCGGCTCTAGGCGCCTCCGAGGATAAACTCCGCGCGACCAACGTTGCGCTGTCTTTTTGGGCAATTCGCTCGACGCACGCCTAACCGCGACCAGCCGATCTTTTCCCAGAATGGCCTAGCAATTGCTTCGTGATATCAGCGATGATTGATTTTTCACCGATATTCACAAAATTCACTCGCTACGGTCATTGTCGAACGAGAAAATAAATCAGCCGACCTACCTCGATTTATCAAATCGCCAAACTTTTTCTCCCATCTCGCGCTACATTTGATGGCTAATGAACCGAGAGTATATGAAACTAGAAAAAAATCCTTTCAAAACATTTTTCCATCGCCGCGTGTCATATTTCATTAATAGATTGTTTTCCTTTTTTTTTCTTGTTTGTTTTTTTGGTTTTTTTGTTTTTTTTTCGTAAATAACTGTCTAAACTGCATTCTAGGCACAATATTATCAGCGCGTACTCGCGCAAACAACCATTCACCGTTTTAATATCTTATCCGATGTTTTTGATATTCGCATCGTCAGGATTTACTCGGCGTTGCTTTACTCGCTTCAGCGAGTCTCTAGTCGCTGCTGCTTTGCCAGAGAGAAATTCTCACTCGCGCACGCACACACGCCTACGCGTATATGTTTTCGTCGTCGTCGTTGCTTTAAATTCTAGACGTGCTCGCGAACATACGCGAGGTATTTCTGCTTTTGTTGTTTAATATATGTGGTTTACGCTCCTCCTCTTTTCTGCTCCGCATTTTCTCCCGTCAAAAATCTCGAGCCGGCAAAATAGGGACGAGGATTCTTCAAAATTTTTAATTTTTTCCCTCGCATCGCGAAATTATTGAAACGCTTTCGTATGAGCTGGAGATTCTTTGCGAGATCTCGTCCGAGCCTGGCTTACTTTCCGTCTAGCACCGAATTCTCAATCGTCCAAGAGAGAGCTGGTTCATTCCGATCGGAGACTTTGAATTACGGACTACGGGTCAGCGAAGCCGAGAGCGACCAACTGTACAGGTATACATAAGCGCTAACAAGCGCTATCTCCGCAGCTCGGCTAATACAAACACTCGGCCCTCTGCTGACTGACTGACTGGCCTCGACGCTGCTGTGTGAGACGCTCCGCCGCGGTATCGCCCGCTGGATCATCAAACACACGCCGAGAGAAGAGAAATGGCGAGCTTCTTGCAGCGGCGCACACGGTATATATGCACCGAGTCTATATGTACGCCGCGCTTACACACAGACGCAGACGTATACGGCAAAGAGTCATCCCAATGATTGAAGAGTCAAAGCGAGAGACTCAGCCGCTTCTGTAACGCAGCAGACTTCAAGATGCAATTTTAAAAAGCATAATACATGAAAATTTCTCTTGCTTTGCCGGCTGATTCGCTTTTGTGCGCGCACAGTTTGAACAATTTTTTTTTTCTTCTTTTTTTCTGACGTTTGAAGTGCAGTCCCTTTTTAAGCGCTCTCGTTCCAACTGTAATTCAGACTCATTTATACAGATAGAAATGGGTATAATAGAAGTAATGAATCTCTTTCTTTGGCAAAACCTAGTCCCAGCAAAGACTTCAAGTATTTTTTAAAGCACTATAGCTACGAGCTAGACCTCAAAAACTCTTGAAATTTATCCTTTCGACTTTCCCATTGACAGCTCTTCCTTGGCTTTATGATTAAAGTGTGTCGTCTTGGCCATCGGACACCTCCATCTATATTTGCGCCCACTTATAAGCCTCGGATAAAAGCAACAAAGGCGCAGAAGAGCTGCGTGCAAAAAAACACCCGCAAGTATAGTTGGAATTAAGTATGAGAAAAATGAAGGCAAAAAAGGACAAGTACAAAGATACGGAAGAGGAGAGACACGCGTGATGTTATAAAAGTAAAATGACAAAAAAGAAGAGAAGAAGAAAGAGAAGAAGGAAGAGTTGGGACAGAAACGAAGATATAATGTGCATATTCAACGGCGAAGAAAGCCCCGAGTCTGCGAGTAAGAAATAGCAATATAGTGAGAATACAGAAAGATAATACTAAGGGCAAAGACGCAAGAGAACAAGATATATTGAAAAAAGTTGAGTGGAATACGTGAAGAGGCAGAGGAGTTGGCGAAACAAAAAAAAATGATAAAAAAGTTGCAAAATGATTCGAGGACATGTTAACGCACCGAGTAGTTGCAAAAGTCTAAATGAGTTGTAAAAAGAAAAACACTTGTGTGCTCTGGATGTATAAGCTAATGTTGTTAGATTGTTTTTAGTGTGCTTATAATGTAGTGTAAAAAGCAGCTGATGTTACGGTAAATCACCTTTTTTACGAGAGTCTCGAAGGAAAAATTCTGTAAACACTTTTACACAAAATAATTGTTTAATTATGTGTTCCGTAGTCTTTAGAAATGAAAGCTTTTCGTAGGAATTTTTTTTCCAGCTCATTCTTATCCCGAGACTAATTTTATATTATTTCGGCTCATTCACCCGAATCTAAGTCATTAAATGAATACTGGAAAGAAACATTAAATAGCTAAAATAGTTCAACTAGTATAACATTTGTACATAAGAGTTTAATGAAAATTAATTTTGTTCATACAGAAAAATTTGTGCATCGAAGTTCACAGATAAAATTTTGATGAATCAATGAACCAAGTGCTGCATTTTCTAGCAGGACAAGTCGTGACTCATTAGTAATTTACAAGCGGTATTATCCATCTCCCTCCGATAAAGCTAATCGAGGGTATTTTGACTTTGAGAAATTATTCTCAACGATCGTGAAAAGAGAACCTGTATATTTTTCGGGTATTAAACTTATTTTCAGAAATTTTCCATTTTCAATTCCAGAGTCCGAGTTAAAAGCAAACGTTACATCGACCAATTCATGGTAGCTCAAGCTCTTTGGCCCTCGGACGCATTCGTTGAGTGGATTCTAAATTTCTGACAAGTTTCATCCTATTTCTTTTAGCTGCTGCTTTTTTTCCTTTCAACAACTTCTAACGCCGATATTATATACGTGCTGTATATATATACAGGCCCAGGCGTACACATAAGTTATCCAATGGGAAATGGCAGAAAAACTCAATGTTGCGCGCAGCGCACTTATATATATCGAGGAGAGCGCATAAGAAGTGAAAGCTCGTTTGCTTTCGGGGAGAGGAGTGAGAATTTTTCGCATTTAGTACGTGAGCAGCTGGAAAAGTCGATTTTGGCACGATAGTAGCACGAGTGCGTTCGGATAATACATATATATCCGCGTTCTCTTTTCTTCCTTTCTCTCTTTTCTCACGGGCTGGCGAGCATTTTTTTAAGCTCTTCTTTTTTTTTCGCGCGCGCACACAGCATTATGGCGGACGCGTATTCCGGATGTGTTTAACGGTTCTTGAATTCCGATGAAGCGAACGAAAGAGAGAGCGAGATGCTGCGTGCGCGCACTATACATATTGGCGACGATTGACGAAGCTTTTCGCCTTTTCGAGCTTGCGCCTGGTCTTTGCATTTGGAGCCTTTCTCCCTTTCGCCCGGTCTATTTCAACGCACTGCCTCGACTCTCTATTTTTCTGCGTTTTAAACTTCTTTGTCTGCATCTAACCTGGTGCTAGTAGTAGTGTTTCCGATTAACCGTTTCCAAGAATAAAAAGCTTTGTAAGCGCCAGCTTTGAAGGGAATTTTAGCCAGTACATGAGTATTTTTGTTGCGAAATACCTACGATATTTGTTCAAAGTATCAATCGTTCAAATAATTCGCGAATTTTTCTACATCAACGTTCAGGAGAGAAATCGATAAATTTCTAGCCGCAGGCTCTTTCAAATATCTTTCGTTTCTAGATTTTCGCGTGATTTTGTAACAAGAATGGAAATACCCCAGAAACACTTGCTATTTATACATTTACTGCCAGATATATTCCTTTTGTATAAATGTGCGTATTAAAGGGGCTCCCGCGAGCGCGGCCATAAATCTCGGCTTCGCTCGTCAAGTGGAGTTTAGGTGCAATTACCGTTCGATTGGATTGGCCGTTTGCACGCTAAAAAAGAATCCGTCTAAGGAGTGCTTCTGGCATTAGCTGCTCGTTTTCTTTTTAAAACGTCTCGAGAGTGCTCGTTTAGGATTTACCATTCTCCACTACACGACTGGTATTTACTTAAACGCACGATCTTAGTGACAACGTTTTTTTCTTTCTAATAAATAATTAGAAAAGCTAAGATTATTGTCGAGCCGTAAAATTGTCAGATTCCACGATCGTCGCTCGATACGCGTAATCACAATCGATTTCTTACCGTCAACATACAACTTCATAAAAGTGTCGACGCTCATAGAATTCTCGACTTTCTCCATAAAGTATTGCAGGTTCGGAGCCAAGTGCCGCCGCAGTACCGAAGGGAATATATACGAGGCTTAAATTCATGAGCAATTTTTTTTTTCTCTCCACCCGCCTTGCGGCCCAA